GACTTAAAAATTCCTGCCCATCCCATTCCAGACCTTCTTCTACCCCAGGGAGAGGTTTGGGCTCTGGTTTGGGCTGGGAGGAACCTCAAAATCCCATTCTGCCCATCCCCATCCCATTCCACACCTTTATCTACCCCAGCAGAGATTTGGGCTCTGGTTTGTGCTGGGAGGAACCTCAAAATCCCATTCCATTCCTGCTCATCCCATTCCAGACCTTCTACTACCCCAGGTAGAGGTTTGGGCTCGGAAGAACTTAAAATCCCATTCTGCTCATCCCCATCCCATTCCACACCTTCATCTACCTCAGGTAGAGCTTTGGGCTGAGGAGAACTTCAAAATCCCACTCCAGACCTTCTACTACCCCAGGCAGAGGTCTGGGCTCTGCTTTGGGTTGGGGGGGACTTAAAATCCCATTCCATTCTTGCCCATCCCCTTCCACACTTTTCTCTATTCCAGACAGAAGTTTGGGCTCTGGTTTGGGCTGGGAGGAACCTCAAAATCCCATTGCATTCCTGCTCCTCCCATTCCAGACCTTCATCTACCCCAGGGAGAGGTTTGGGCTCAGAAGGACTTAAAATCCCATTCTGCTCATCCCCATCCCATTCCACACCTTCATCTACATCAGGTAAAGATTTGGACTGGCAGGGACTTAAAAATTCCATTCCATTCCATTCCTGCCCATCACATTTCAGACCTTCATCTACCCCAGGGAGAGGTTTGGGCTCTGGTTTGGGTTGGGGGGGAATTAAAATCCCATTCCGTTCCTGCCCATTCCTTTCCACACCTTTGTTCTACCCCAGGTAGATATTTGGGGTGGGAGGGACCTAAAAATCCCATTCTACTCCTGCCCATCCCATTCCACACCTTCATCTACCCCAGGTAGAGCTTTGGGCTGAGGGGAACTTCAAAATCCCATTGCACACCTTCGTCTACCCCAGGCAGAGGTCTGGGCCAGGAGTGACTTAAAAATTCCTGCCCATCCCATTCCAGACCTTCTTCTACCCCAGGGAGAGGTTTGGGCTCTGNTAAAACCCTTTACTTGAACTAAAGAGAACTTTTGTCTTCCTTATAATTTATTCCCCATTTTTTTGGTAGAATTTATTCCCCAATTTATTTATTTATTTATTTATTCATTTTTGCACGATCCATTCCCCATTTTAAAACCCTTTACTACCATGTTAACTAAGGAGAATTTTTAAAATTTATTTCTTCTTTATAATTTATTCCCCATTTTAAAACCCTTTACTTGAACTAAAGAGAACTGTTATTTTTAATTACGTCTTCCTTAGAATTTATTCCCCATTTTTTAAAACCCTTTACTACCCTGTTAACTAAGGAGAATTTTTAAAAATTATTCCTTCCTTATAATTTATTCCCCATTTTTTTGTAGAACTCATTCCCCATTTTCTAAAACCCTTTACTTGAACTAAAGAGAACTTTTATTTTTAATTATGTCTTCCTCATAATTTATTCCTCATTTTTTTGTACAATTAATTCCCCATTTTTTAAAACCCTTTACTTGAACTAAAGAGCACATTTATTTTTAATTACGTCTTCCTTAGAATTTATTCCCCAATTAATTTATTTAGTTTTTGCAGAATCCATTCCCCATTTTAAAACCCTTTACTACCTTGCAAAAGCACGTTAACTAAAGAGAATTTTTTTTAAATTATTTCTTCCTTATCATTTATTCCCCATTTTTTTGTAGAACTTATTCCCCTATTTATTTATTTATTTATTTATTTTTGCAGAATCCATTCCCCATTCTAAAACCCTTTACTTGAACTAAAGAGAACTTTTATTTTTTAATTACGTCTTCCTTAGAATTCATTCCCCAATTTATTTCTTTATTCATTTTTGCACAATCCATTGCCCATTCTAAAACCCTTTCCCACCTCACAACCCCACTGGCACCAACGCCC